AAGAGCCTTAAATTCCTGATTTTTATACACACACTTTGAGCTTGTGTTTCTAGTTATATACTCTCATATTCATAAGTTTGAATTGTATTTTTGAGAGAGTATACTTTCTTTCTACACCGGCTAAGTTTTGTTCTTCATTTTTATATTCTAGCCGTTGTGTAGAATCCTCTTTTGTGTTCTTCAAACACACCTTCTTACGGTTGAGAATGGCCGTTAAATTCTCACGTTTTAACGGTCAAGGATTGCCGTATAAATCCTTGGGTAAAGGTTCAAGGATAGCCTTTGAAATCCTTGGGGGAACGGTAGAAGATAGCCGTTAAATCTTCGTTGTAAACGGTTCGAGATAGCTGTGGTGAAATCTCGGAGTGAATCCTATTGGCAAGGGTTGTTTGTCAAACTAGTGCGGTGCTTTGACGGAGTTCAAGAGACCGGGACTTAGTGGATTCGGAAATCCTTGAGGAGGAGCCTCGAGGTACTGGAGTAGGGAGTTCCCGAACCAGTATAAAATCGGTGTGCATTTTATTTACGCTTTTATTTCTGCGTTTTATATATTGCTTCAGCATTTGCCAACACCGTTTTTATCAAACTCCGAAAAGATTTTAAACGCCTTATTCACCCCCCCTCTAAGGCGTGGGCACAACGACTAAACCGACTAACAAAACATACTTAGGTGGAACAAATATTTTATGGGGTGGAGAATGACTATATCTTGGCATAGTTCTCCACTCAGAATTTCTTGGAAAACTCCTATCTACCCCATAATGAGTACAGCCTCGTGTGTAGTGGGGGTTAGAAGGTTTTCTTCTGAGATTGTTTCCTCCTTAGGTGTGTCCAGCTTCCTATAATTTTTAGGAGGGACTACCTTTTTGGGAACTTCTTTAGGTTTCTCCTTCTCCTTACCTTTCTGCTTATTGGGTTTGGCAGTAGGTTTGGAAGGGATAAAAGTTGTTCTCCCTTTCCTTTTAGAACTGGAGGGGTCAAAACCAAGTCCTTCACGACCCTTATGTTTGGTCGTTTCAAGAAGCTTATCCACTGCTTCTTTAGACTTCAGTATCCCTAGCTCCTTGTTGAGGAATTTCACCTTTTCAGAAAGAGATTCATTCTCAGCCTTGAGTTGAGTGATCTCACTTAGTTGACTTTTCCGAATTTCAGTCAACTTGAGATTCTCTTCACTCAATAGCTTGTTCTCTTCTGTTAAGGATGAGTGTTTAAGATTTATTTCCTCAAAATCTTCCATCATCTTTTTGAACTTGTCAAAAAGATTTTCAGAAGTTGGTATGCTTTCATAAGAAGATGAGCAAGAGGTTTTTGATGTTACCTCTTGTTCAGCATCATCTTTGGCCATTAGGCAGAGAGTGTCATCTTCTGACATGGTCCACCGATCCTCATGGTTGGACTTCTCAGCTTTGCGCTCCATGCAGACGATGGCTTCTTCATCCGAGCTTGAACTGGATGACTCGTCACTTTCAGCTGCTACCATTGCCTTCTTCTTCTTCTCGTTTCTTTCTCTTTCTCCGTACTTCTCCACTTTTGGGTATGCGCATGCTGACTTCGAGTGGCCAGGTTTCCTGCAGTTATAACACAAATAAGATTCAGGAGGGGAGTCACTTACCTGTAGCTTTCCCTTGGATGGCCTTGTAAATGAGTCAGTTTTCTTGAAGAACTTCTTGAACTTCCGAAACTGCTTGATCATCATTGCGAATTCCTCATCGTAGTTCTCCATTTTTGAGCTTGGTGGCTGACTGGATGAAGGAGTGTCACTGTTCCTTGGGCATGTCCCTTCGCTTGCTGGGACTCTGGGAGTTGTCATTAGTGCCGTGGGAAATGGAGTGACTTGTTCTTCCTTCTTCTTCTTCAGCTCGTGCTCATAGGTTCTGAGCTCATCTAGGAGACCTTGGACAGTGTAGATTTCCAGATTTCTTCCTTCTTCCATGGCTGTGGCTTTGGTGTACCACTCAGCTGGAAGAGATCTCAGTAACCTTACATTCTTTTCTTTGGGAGAAAGAACGTGCTTAAGTGATGCAAGATCATTCAAGATTTTGTGGAATCTTTCATCCAACATATCAAATGATTCTCCGGGAAGCATTTTGAAGCTTTTGAACTTCTCGAGCAGAACCTCTATCTTCTGCTTTCTCAGATCCTCTGATCCCTCACACAGCTTCCCAAGACCTTGCCATATCTCCATGGCAGTCTTGAGATGCTTGATCTTATCGATGATTTTATTGATCAAACAAACTCCGTTAGGATCCTAGCAAGGGAAGGTATATGGTGGTCCCAAAGTGATGAGATACAAAGTCTAGAGGGGGGGGGGGGTGAATAGACTTTGTTACAATTTAAAGACTTTTTCGTTTCTTTTGAAAACGTGAAAATGAGTGTTAATCTAGAGTTCTTGTGAACCTTGGATTGTGTGCGGAAGTTGGTGGGTTTGTAGAGCAGTAATCAATATGGATGGTTAGTTTCACAGTTAATATAATTGCAAGTATGAGTAAAGATAAAAGAGAGAGACACGCAAACTTTAACGAGGTTCAAAGGTGGGGTAATCCTTCTACGTCCTCAAAATCCACTATGTAGTTGGTTGTTGAATAATGAACCAACAATTACACTTGTATGAATTTCTGCACGGTATATCTATGCAAGACCAATGTTGCTACTGCACACGTGCTGGCTTTGTTGTTCCTTCGAAGGTCAAGCTTCTTCAACAACTGCAAGATCCGAACAATAGGACTTGCAAGATCAACTTGTAGGAAAGTTGATGTACCCCCTTTTTAATCAAGAAGTTTGATTAAAAGATGTATCCTTTAACGTGGTGTTGTACTTGAGGCAAGGAAACCTTCAAGTGTTTACACTATAGCTCTTTGGAAGGAGGAGAAGTTTGCTTCTGGATAAGGAGTTTAGAATTCTCTCTTTATCAAGCTTTTTGGCTAACTGTGAATGAGATAGCTTTTGTTCTTGTTGATGTTAGGTTGATGATCAATTAGGTATGTTTCTCCGGTCTTCCAAGGAAGCTATTTATAGCTGGATTGGATAATCTATCCGTTGAATCAAAATAGACTATCCGTTGCATTTGTTGGCTTCAATTTTGAATAAAGATTGTGATTGAGGATTTCTCATTGGAATGGGAGTTTGGACGTACCCAATTATTTGAGGAGGGATTCCTTTTTCCACAGAATCTGTCTTCTATGTTAGACAAAAGTGCAACTCTAGAGGGGGGGGTGAATAGAGTTGTTTTCAAGAATGTACGTTTTTCGTAAAAATTATCGCCGGAAAAAGTAAGGAGAGTAAGGGAAAGAAGAACACCGGGATTTATACTGGTTCACCACCTCGTGGCTAGTCCAGTCCTCCGAGAGACTCTCTCGAAAGTCCTACTAATCTTCAAGCTTCAATGGGTGCTTGAAAAACCGGTACAACTTGAGAACTTGAATCACACAAGCCTCACTTTCTTACAACAACAAGACTTGAGTCACACAAGTCTTAAGAACAACACTCAAATGAGATTGAGTTTACAACACAAGAATGAAAGCTCACACAATTGAGTAAAGTAGTGTTGAAAGATTTAAGCTCTATGGATGACAACTTCTATAGCACTCAAAGAAACAATATTTCTAACTCTCAAAAATAATATTTTGATGAGGAAGATGAAGCAAAGGATGAATAGGTCAAAGAAATATATTGGAGTGCAAGAGGTGTGTTGAAATGAAGGAGAATGAGGGATTAAATAGGCTGAGAAGAATAAAGCC